GAATGTAAAGAGACTGGGCTGAATGGGCCCTAACAGCCTCTCTTGTAATATCTTTTATTTTATGTTGATGGGCCACACTTAATGGGCCTGTTATTTATTCTTGTTTTATTTTTCTTTATGTAACTACCAAGCTGACTGCCCACTTAAGGGCATTCTTGTCATCATCAAACTTTTAGATCTTAATAAAATAGGGTTAGAGGAGAATGGAGAATAATTCGACTCCTCCTTCTCTTACCTCTTCTCTTCGCCATCTTCTTCTCTTGTATAGTTATTTAGACTTGTTTTATTCTGCTAATCACTAAGTTTAATCTTGATATTAAAGGACTAATTTACATCTTTTACCATTTCAAAAGAAACATGACCTAACCAACTATGCCACAAAAAACTTGACTCTTATTTGATTGACTATACGACTCTAAGGACAACACCGAGAGACCAGCTTTGTTGTCGATAATGTAGAGACCATCCACTAGGCTCCCTCTACCAATCGTCCTCCCAGATGTTAGATCCTGAAAAAGACATGAACCAGGAAAAAAAGTTACACTACAGTTTAAAGAGTTTGTGATACTACTGATTGAAAGCAAATTTATAGAAAGTTGAGGGACATGCAATACATAATTCAGGTTAAGGCCATAGGGAAGAAATATTGATCCTTGGCCTACAATGGAGAAGAATGATCCATCTGCAAACCTCACTTTATCCCTTCCTGACAAAAGGGCTATAAGTTTGAAACAAGTTTGCTTACCGGTCATGTGGTTAGAGGCCCCTGAATCAATGATCCAAGGGGAGTCAATGGTAGTGGTGACATGGAATGCAGAAGCTGCATTACTTGATGTGGACGCAAATGAAGTAGGAGTACCAGTAACTGAATATCCATCTGTCGCAAAGCCCTACCATATGACTCCAAGTGATCTCTGAAGGAATTCATGACATCTTCCTTGGGGTCAAAACCAGTAAAGTGGTCTTGAGTAATACCAACAGACTGAGTATCTTGGGTTACCACATGTGCTGCATTATGTGTTGTATTCGGCTTCTTCTGACCTTGTACTGTACCCTGTTCTTGGTTCTTCACTGCCCACTTGGGCTTCCCATGAATCTCCCAACATGTCTCACGTGTATGTCTCGAGCGCCAACAATGGGTACAAAACAACTTGTCTTTACCATTAGCCTTTTTGGAGTCACTTTTCTTTCCATTATTGTTACTACCTATCGCAGCCAATGCTACCTGTTGCTCCCCCTCAGTTGTAACCATCACACTCCGCCTACTTTCCTCAGATTGAACGAGGGCATACACCTCTTAAACTGAAGGCAACTCTTTACTTCCTAAGATCTGACTCTCAAGGGTTCATAAGCAGGGTTTAGACCCAACAAGAATGTAAAAACCCACTGCTGAGAAACCAGCTTCTTATAGGCCTTAGCATCATCATCATGTTTCCATTCTATAGCCTGATAGTGATCCAATTCTTTCCACACTGAAGTAAGGGCTGAATAATAGGCAGACAAACTATGATTCCCCTGTTTACAGGTTGAGGATTCAGCTTGCAACTGGTCCGGTTCAGGGTTTCAAGAAAACCCACACTGCATGTATCTCAAGTCTCACCCTGGCAGCTGAGACAGGCCACCCCAACCAACTTGGCGACACATTAGTATCAGCCTTGGCAGCATAAATCTCCCTAGATTTATCCAACGGCTGTGAAAATTCTAAACTAACACGAGTCTCATATGTGTCCAGTTTAAGGGTATTACATAGAAACACACCATAATAACATGAATCAAATATGTACTTTATTCATTTACATTAAATGTCATAATGTACATCATTCTGATTGGAGCTAAGGGCATACATTGTCTAACATCTCCCTTTATCCTATTCGTGACACTTTTTTTCTCTTTTGTTTTCTACCTTTTTTAAATCAGAAAACAACTATTTGTTGATTTAATTTATTCAAGTGTTGCGAATCTCATCATAAAATTTTTGGAAAATGGTAAACAATTCATTCCTTTCTTTCATTAAATAGAGTCACGTCATCCTTGAATGAACCAAATAAAATGGTAAACAATTCACTCATTTCTTTCATTAAACAAAATATCTATATGATATTACTTTATAAGGACCCCAAACATCTGAATGAACAAAAGAAAAAGAACTCAACACACGGTTATCAACCCGAGGACTAAAGGGAACACGATGATGTTTCCCCAATTGACACGACTCACAATCTAAAACAGAAAGTTGACTCAACGAAAGAACCAAAGACTTCAAAACTTTCAATGAAGGATGACCGAATCGGCAGTGCCACTGGAGAGGAGAGAGAGATGACTAGAGAGCTGTTGATGTTCTTCCACCACCGTCAAGATAATACAATCCACCAGCCTCATGCCCTCCACCAATCTTCATCCCCATCTTGAGATCCTGAAAAACACACGGAGAAGGGTAAAAGGTAATAGAGCAATTGAGTGACTTGGTCAACTTACTAACAGACATAAGGTTAAACGGAAATTTAGGGACATACAAAACTAAGGATAAAGGAAAGGGGGGCATGTTAACATTGCCAACACTACAAATGGAGGATGTGGAGCCATTAGCAAGGGTAACAGATTGTGATGTTGAGCAATGAGAGAGGGAAAAAAAACACACCTAGAGTTCCAGTCATGTGATCAGATGCTCCAGAGTCAATAATCCAGGGATTAGGTGTGGATGCCAAACAAGCCATACTTGAGTGTGCGAGAGTAGCCGTGTTCTGCTGAGATGTTGATTGGACAAACCTCTCATACTCATCACAGGGGACACTCATCATCTCTTTCCCGTGAACATCTGTGGATGTAGGAAGCATCTGATCAGCTGAACGACTCTCCTGTCTGAAGCTGTTGTCACTAGTCATGGCGTGATTGGCCCAAGTTGAGGGTGGACCATGCAAGTCATAGCAATAATTAATGGTATGTCCATCCATACCACAGTGAGTACACCTCCTCGGACCCGAACCGCGTCCTCTACCACAGGCTCCCCCTAAATCTCTACCTTCAGTACGACCACCACCACGGTTATATGTAGGTCCACCACCACCACTCCGGCCATATACCGGACCACTGCTACCACTACGACCAGACTGAGCTCCCCAAGCTCCACCTCTAACACCACGGCCCTCGATATTGCAAAGGCTGATCTATTGGAAACATTAAAGTTCTCAGTAGATTCAATGGAAATCCTCCAAAGTCGAGCAAAACCTCTTCTAAGGGAGAGTTGACCCTCCTAGTAGAACCCGCACTGGTTCATACTCAGATTTCAGCCCCACTAAAAATCAAGTCACATCAAGTTGTTCTCTCTGTTGTTGCTGAATTTTGACATCAGAGGTGAGGGGGTGATAAACATTCAGCTCATTACAAATGTTTCTCATACTAGCATAGTACTCCTCAAGACTTTGATTGCCCTGTTGCAGATTAAAGTATTCCTATTACAACTGATATACTCTGGTTGTATTGTCTTGACTAGAATACAACTTTTTAGCATGGTCCCACACATCTTTGGTAGTGTCAAGAAACATGAAATTTACACTAATCTTGGGTTCCATACTATTCCATAACCACGTGATAATCTGTGCATCCTCTTGTTCCCAATCATCATACTCATGAGAATCACTGGAGGGTTTTTCCTCCCTTGTGTGTTTCACCTTCTTCTTTGCCTTAAGAAAACTTCTATAGATTTAGCCCAAGGTACATAATTTTCTCCATTCAGTTTAATGGAGGTCATTTGAACATTCAGGTAGTCAGTAGGTATCATCACACTAGACTTGCTATCACTTCTGTCTCCCATTGCTAAATTTTGTTATTGCTGAATTCGGCACACTGCACACTAGACCACACCACACACTGATCACACTGATTTCAGCACTTGTTATTGCTGAAGATTGCACTCTTTACACCACAAACCCTATCCCACGTCTACCTGAAACTCACCACTATATGAGGACCACTCCCTCTTCGAATCACATTGAAAATAGCATAAATCCTAGCACACTATAGTTGAAATCCCACCATACGATCTGAAACATACTTCTTATTTGATTCACAACAAAAACATTGCAGAGAAATCTCTACCTCATCACCTGAAAATCAAACCACACAAAACACCCACTGCACCACACGAATCAGCCCTCTTCTCTTTATCAATTAGGGGAGGGCTTCTTAGAAACCACAGCAACCGACCATGAACAGCACACCTAGAGGCATAGAAACCTCCAAGGGAAGAGGGAGACCACACCTTTTCAGCCCTTTCCCTTATCTCCAACCGATGGCAAAGAAACCAAAAGAAAATCCTAGACTGGGTGCATAGAAAACAGAAATTTGGGCAGATCCGAGTTGCTTAGTTGAGCTCTAATGCCATATTATGATTCGGCCTGCCCTTGAGTTCTGTTAGTTTGATAACAGCCAAGAAGAAAGAAGAAAGAAAGAGAGAGAGAGAGAGAGAAAGGAGAAGAAAAGTCTGGTTCAAATGAGAGAAAAATTACCTCTCCCATTCGGCCAGATGTGTTTTATATTACTAACATAATGAAAAAAACACATGTGCCCCTACTTAAGTGAGGGACACCAGTTCTAACAAAATATTACACATCAGCAACCTCAACATAAGTATAAAGACTGAAATACCCCTACATACTTGACACTAACAGTGTGGAAGACAATCCTGGCAGCTGTACTCTGGTCCATTTGGACTAAAATGAATAACAGAATAATCTGTAACAAAAAGAAAAGTTCAGATGAAATTGTGCAGTATGCAGTCAGTACATTGGTTTCTTGTGTTGTTGTTAATCCAGTATTTAACCATGTAAATGTATTCCAGAAACTCAGGACTGAATCCCTTTGGTGTCTGTAGCTCTTGTTATTTTCTGGCCAGTCCCTTTGTGGACTATGTTTGTAGCTTCTTTCAATATTCAATAAAATTACTTTACCTTTTCAAAAAAAAAATGCCAGAGCCAAACCTGACAATGGTCATCCGTCAACGGTTGGTTGGAGCGTATTATCTTATGAAGATCAGTGTCCATTAATTCATAAACAATGAATACATCATTGAAGTTCTCTTTCCGTGGAGGTCGTATGATATCCTTGATGGCAATAACCTGGATTGATAAAGAACAAAGTAGTTAGGCCTTTGTCATGATAAAAAACAAGCAAGAAACATCATAGAATTTCCACCAATCAAGTCTCCTGGCTTTCCCAACCATAGTTTTCAAGGTGCCAAAGCAAGTCTATGCAACAGGAGGGTGCCTAGGCAATGGATTTTTTTATAAGTAAAAGACTTCTATCCTAGAGTAGTTCCCAAGGTTCCATAACCAAATTTCCTTAATAGCTATCCATAATTTTCATAATAAAAGTATGAACTTCATAATAAAGTATAGAAAATCAACATATTTATGAAAAGAAAAATAAGAAAGAAAAGAAATTTCAAAAAATATAGGGGTATTTTTGTTATAGTTAAATAAGAAGAAGATTAGACAAAATTTCAAGTTCTTCTTTACTTATTGGTTCAGGTTTTGAAGTCTTTGAGGGTTCAATACAGCATTCAGCAATGTTTGTGTTGATTAAACCCAAACAAATAAGAAAGTAATAGAAATAAATTAGTATATAAGCACACAAAATGAATATTTTAGTTTATTCATGTTTACTTTATAAATTAATCTCAAAAAATTAATCTCCAAGGGTGCCTTGTTGCCTAGGCATCACCTAGGTGCCTGCCTAGGCATCGCCTTGACAACTATGTTCCCAACAACTCTCCTAGGTAGGGACTAGACCTGTTCATGGGCCTGGTCGGGCTTTCACTCTGTATTAACAAATTTTTTAAGGCCCAAGCCCAAGCCCGACCCAACCATCGGGCCTACAACTTGGGCCCGAGCCCGGCCCAAATAAAAAGCCCGAAGCCCGGGCCTAGGGCCGAGCCCGAAATTTAGCCCATACTATTACTATTACTACTGCTGAAGCGACTGAATAGAGAGAGAGAGAGAGAGAAATTATAAAGAAAAGAATAAAAAATATATATATTAAATTATAAATATATATTTTAATAAATATTATATATTTTATATAATATATAAAATACATATTATATATTTTATAAAATATATAATGCTGAGTCGGGCCGGGCTTTTTTGACAAATCCCGAGCCCAGCCCGAAACACAGTCGGGCTTACTGTGTTAGGCCCGAGGTCAGGCCCGCGAGCCTAATTACATGACCAAGCCCAACCGGGGTGCGGGCCGGGCCATCGGGCTACCCGGCCCATGAACAAGTCTAGTAGGGACCATATTGGGAGGCTAATCTTAAGAAAGAGACTCAAAATCACCCGAGCTCCTGTGGTTTGTGATATGGTCCTCAATGAAGACATAAGGTTACATAAATATGTTCTCCTATAGTAAAGGTCAATGTTTGAAACTGAGCATCCAACATTGAAAATATGTGGAACTGCAAAAGATTAGACTAATCTGAGTTTTGATAATATGGATGGCATACATATATAATAGGGATGTAGTATGTATTGGTTGTGAGGTAATTCCATATACTTCATTGATCTACTGTTTTAAACATAGAACCAAATCAGATCGAAGGGGTGCAAGGGGAAGGGGGCAATTTTCTTTTTTTTTTTCATGTTTTGAAAACTTGTATTTATATATGATTTACTACAATCTGCCCCTCAAATATCTTTTCCCAGCTTTCCACCTGTACAAAACCACAATCATGTCTTGCAAAAAAATGCCTTGAAAAAAAGCCCACAAGAAAATTTCTCTAACCAGTTAGGCCAACTGGTTAAGATTTATCATGAATCTCATTATATATTGCAGCAACAGCAGTAGGTTTTGATTGTAAAATCTAGAGAAGTCCCCCTAGGGACAAGTATCTAGAGAAGTACCCCTGTTAATGTCAAGTATGTAGGGGTATTTCTGTCTTTATGCTTATGTTAGAACTATTGTCCCTCACTTAAGTAGGGGCACATGTGTCTTTTCCATTATGTTAGTAATATAAAACACATCTGACCCAATGAGAGAAGTAATCTTTTTTCTCATTTGAACTAGAACTTTCTCTCCCTTTCTTCTCTTCTTTTCTTCTCCTTTCTCTCTCTCTTTATTTCTTTCTTCTTCTTCTCTCTTCTTGACTGTTATCAGACTAACAAGACTCAAGGGCAGGCCGAATCATAATATGGTATTAGATCTCAACTAAGCAACTCGGATGAATTCTCGGACTGTCCCAACATACCCAGGTTTTGACCCCCGCTAAGGATCTCACTGATTGGCATATCAAAGACAGCCCAATCTGACACCTAGTGCAGTACTATAATCGAGTCTAACCAGTGGAATGGGTGATGTGCTGGACGGGACGACTCCTAATTCCTGAATGAACTTTTTCATCCAGACGGCTTCCTTGGCAGCTTCACTTGCGGCAATGTACTCGGCCTCGGTTGTGGAATCTACAATGGACCCTTGTTTGTTGCTTTTCCAGCTAACTGCACAGGACCCCATCGTAAAGATGTATCCAAATGTAGACTTTTTATCATCTGCGTCTGACTGGAAATCAGCATCGGTATACCCAAGGATCTGTAGTGAACTACCATCGAATACCAAACAAAACTCTTTTGTCCTTCAAAGGTATTTCAGTATGTTTTTCACAGCGGTCCAATTCTCTTGTCCTATGTTAGATTGGTATCTACTTATCATACTCACGGCCTGAGCAATGTCTGGCCGAGTGCACAGCATGGCATAAATGATGCCCCCTACGGCAGAGGCATAGGGAACTTCATGCCCTCACTCTCCTCAGGTGTCTTGGGAGACATTCATGCCCTCAATTTCCTTTCTTGGAGTTCTCCATACTATATCTCTTGATTATTTTGTCAATGTAAGTAGACTGCGATAATCCTATTATCCTCTTCGATCTATCTCTATAGAGTCGAAGTCCCAAGATATAAGAGGCTTCTCCAAGATCTTTCATGGAGAATTGTTGTGAAAGCCACACTTTCACCGTAGTCAACATTCCTACATCATTCCCAATGAGTAGAATTTCGTCTACATATAGAACCAAGAACATAACCTTATCCCCACTGGTCTTCCTGTAAACACAGGGTTCATCCGGATTCTGTTCAAAGTCAAATTGTTTGACGGTAGAGTCAAACTGGATGTTCCAACTCCTAGAAGCTTGCTTAAGTCCATATATGAATCGATTAAGTTTACATACCATGTGTTCTTGACCTGCAGCTATGAACCCTTGCGGTTGCTGCATATAGATATCTTCAGTAAGATCTCCATTCAGGAACGCGGTTTTGACACCCATTTGCCAAATCTCGTAGTCATGGTATGTTGCTACAACTAGAAGGACCCTAATGGATTTAAGCATAGCCATGGGCAAAAGGGTTTCCTCATAGTCGATTCCCTCTTTCCGAGTGTACCCTTTCGCCACAAGATGAGCCTTGTAGGTCTCAACCTTACCATCAAGGCCCTTCTTCCTCTTATAGATCCATTTGCAACCAATTGCTTTTACCCCAGGGGGCGGATCTACTAGAGTCCATACTCCATTGGTCTCCATTGAGTCCATCTTAGCTCCCATGACATCTACCCACTTCAAGGAATCTATGTCCAACATAGCTTCCGTATAAGTCACGGGATCCTCCTCACTTGTCGTGGCTTCCACCAAGTAACTTTCTTGGTCATAGCCGTAACAAATTGGAGGCCTGGAAACCCGGGTAGATCTTCCAGGTTGGTTATTATCTGGAGCTTGTGGAACATTTCCCACTACCCCTAAACTCTCCTCATCAAGAACAACTTCCTGACGATGATTGTTCAAGATGTAATCTTCCTCCAAGAAATTGGCATTTCGACTACAGAACACTTTCTGTTCTCCTGGGTCAGAATATATACCCGACAGAGCCTTTGGGGTAACCTACAAATAGGCAACGGCCGGTTTTAGATTCCAATTTGACAGCACTTGTTCTTTTAACATGTGCTAGACAACCCCAAATCTTCAAGTGTCTCACACTTGGTTTCTTGTCGGTCCAAAGCTCATAAGGAGTCTTCGAAACGAATTTGGATGGAACCCTGTTCAGCACGTATATCGCAGTCTCTAATGCGTATTCCCAAAAGGATGTAGGTAATTCCGAGTGGACGAAAAGTGGTCGGACCATATCCAATAAAGTCTAGTTCCTCCTTTCCAACACACCGTTTAACTGTGGTGTAGCAGGAGGAGTTAGTTGTGATACTATCCCATTTTCCTTTAAGTAGTCTCTGATTTCGTCAGAGAGATTCGCCTCCTCGATCTGATCGAATGGCCTTAATGTGTCTCCCTAACTGTTTCTCAACCTCATGTCTGAAATCTTTGAACTTTTCAAAGGATTCAGACTTGTGTCTCATTAGGTACACGTAACCATACCGTGAGTGATCATCGGTAAATGTTATGAAATAAACGTGTTGGTTACGTGTCCTAACATTCATGGGACCACATACATCAATATGTATAAGGTCAAGCGTGCTTGTTGATCTTTCAGGCTTACTGGTGAATGGCGGTTTCGTCATCTTACCCTAAAGGCAAGGTTCACAGGTTGGAAGATCTTCTACAGTTAGAAAATCCAAAGGACCATCCTTTACCAATCTTGTGATACGATCTACGTTAATGTGGCCAAGTCGGTAATGCCACAGGCATGTGGGATTAACTGTATCACGAGTTCTTTTCTTAGGGATATTATCCGACGTAGTTTCGGTTATATTTGTTTCCATATAAGGATGGAAAACATGGAGACCATTCCCAAGTTCTCCATATAAGAGGAATTTGTTATTCCTTTTATTAGTAATCACATTGCTAAAAAGAAAAAAAATAACCATCCTCACACAGTTTTGAAACCGAAATCAGATTTCTTCTCAAATTGGGTACATAAGACAATCTTTTAATGTAATAATCCCTTCTCTGAAATACAATTCTATAGTTCCTATGGCTGTAGCTGCAACATTTGCAGAAGTCCCCAAGTAAAGAATCACTTCTCCGTCACTCAATCTTTTACTTGTCCTGAACCCCTGCAATGTATTACATGCATGAGTAGAAGCCCCGGAGTCAATACACCAAAAAGCATAAGTGACCAACATATTGGTCTCTACGACAAAGGATTCGAAATTA